GTTCTGACCGAGGTTTCCCGAGAGCATGAAGAAAACTCCTGGTCCCGACAAAAAACCCTTTTAGTAATTGACTCGGAATTCTGCCCATTCACCTCCAGCAAAATCTTTTGAGGAAGGATTTGCAGTCACAGACCTTCTCTGGCTTGGAGAGCTGCCAGGCCGATATCTGCAGAACTTGGCAAGGAGTCTCGGAGAGTCACGAAACAATTAAGCGAATTAATTGTCTCCTGCAAACTCCCCTTTCGCTCCTCTTTTATTTCCTCTGGGAGGGGCCATTCATTGTCCACCTGTGGCCTTCCTCCCTCTGTTCTTTAGCTGTTCCCTTCGTCTGGCAACTCTGTGCATGCGCACACTGGGAACAGGTTCCAGTTCTTCTGCCTCCCTGATGTCTGAAGGCAGCCGATAACTGGCATACGGCCCTGGCCCCCTCTCTGCCTCCGACACAGAGCCCTCCTCCGAGCCTTCCCCAGACTCCAGGACTGGCCCAGGTTCCCCCCCAGCCTCCTCACTGTCCGAATCTGCTGCCAGCTCCATTGGCCACTGGTGGGCCACAACAGCAGCCCCAGCCTCCTTTTCTTTGTCAGGCCTTTAGGAACTTCTTCTGTGGCTGGCAAGGCTTCCCTGAAGGCCCCTGCAGCCAATAAAAGAGCTCTGTTACCACCTGCAGAGGCCTCCAGGGAAGCTGCAATAGAAATGGGCCAGGAAAGCAGGTGTTGGGCTGTGCGAGGCCCGGCTGTAACTGTCTGAAGGTAAGTAGTAGGGCAGCTCCACCACCGCCAACCATCCCAACCCTAGCTTAATTTTAAGCCGTGGACTCTGGAGTAGGCGGAGTCTTAATGGGGGCTTATTTTGGGGGTGGGGCTTATATTGGGTGCACGTGTTAAAATCAAGCTAGGACTCGTGCCCTACTCTAAGCCCGCCTCTTCACCTTCTAGTAAGAATCTACCTGTGGCAGGTGGAGCAGGCTCTCCTGCTAGGTACAAGAAAGCTGCGGCTTTTGGTGGCAAGGAGTGTAAGTCAAAATACCCTCCGGTATTTTCTTGACTTTGAAAGAAACACCACAGGAGCTTCTTCTCCGAAGCACCAGAAGGAGGACGAGAAGCAATGGAGGGAAATTCACCAAGGAGAGAAGCAACCTAAAACTAAGGAGAAATTTCCTGACAGTGGGAACGTGGAATGGCGTTTCCTTCAGAAGTTGTGGGTGCTCCATCACTGGAGGCTTTTCAGAACAGACAGGGCAGCCATTGGTCCAACGTGGTATAGGGTTGAACCCCCTGGACTAGAAGACCTCCAAGGTCAACTCTGTTGTTCTACTACCCTGTTTCCTTGAAAATAAGACCTCCCCAGACAATAAGCCCAATCGGGCTTTTGAGCGCATGTGCTAAAATAAGCCCTCCCCCCCAAAAAAATAAGCCCTCCCCCAAAATATTGCAACACAGCAGCAGCCATGACCATGCTCATAGCCGCCTGCACCTCAAAAATAATATCTCCCCCAAAATAAGGCCAAGTGCTTAATTTGGGGGTCAAAAGAAAATAAGATCTTGTCTTATTTTGGGGAAAACACAGTAAAATTGTGAAGAAGTTGATTTTCAGCATGGCAAGCAACCTGATATAGGAGAAGGGAAGGGAAAGTCGGAGAGCGGAGTCAAGAGAGGAAGTAGCCTGGAGTCATTACGTTCCCACAAGTGATCCAAGTTCAACTCCTCTTGACTTCTGTTGACCCTTCACTAGCATCAGCTTACTGCTGACTAGATTCCTTTCTATAGGCATGAGCAATAAATCACCTTAACTCAAAATTAAGGTGTGGTGCCGATTCTTCATGCCTTAAGGCCTTCTGCCACATGGAGACCTCGGGGTATGCTCTACTACAACACCCACCAATTTACCACTGTACAGCAATTACATTGTAACCAGAGAAGATTTCCCTTCTTCCAATGAAAAAGGGAGGGAAGAAAAAACACAACCCGATTTGTACAATTCTACAGCGGTTATAATGAAAGTTGCATAGCTTAGCAATGACCTCTATGGCATTGGTTGCTTAGTTCTACCTTGTTGGCCAATGTCCTCCTGGCTCAAAAAGAGAAATACCTGAAAGTTTGCTTGCTTGTGACTTGGGGCCTCCTTCTCCACCTTTGGTCTTCTGCAGCTTGGTGTCTTCTTCTCCAGCTTTGGTCTTCTGCAGATTTTTCTCTTGGATGCCGGAGTTTGCAACCAAACCCTTAATACCCATGGTAAGATGTTGAAGGTTGGTTCCAGAATTTGCTGCCTTGGTTTCGGTTTTTACAGAGGATGGTGAAGGAACTGCCAATGGCATCAGCTTGGGGGGGTCCCAGTGATGTTCTGTTTGATACTTTAGCAAAGAAGAAGTTCTCCTTAGTTTCACTCCAAATGGACTTTCACAGTTTTGGACTTCCTCACTGGAAGAATTCAAGGGGACCCCCGTGTTTCTATTAGGCCCATCAGGTCTTTCTGGAGTGTTTAAAATTGGTGAGCCTGCATCTAGTAGAGAAGTTCCTTCAAACAATTCTGGTTTTACGGGAGACGTTGGAGAATTTCGAGGGTAGGAATTGTTGACAGCGCTTGAATCTCCTGAGAGTGACCTCTGCCAGGCGGGAGCGATGGTGAATCTCACGGGCTTCACAGCAGAAGGCTTTGTCTGGGTCTTGATCATCTCCGTAGCTTTGCTTTCTTCCTCGGTGACGACGTTTGCCAGCTGAACTCCAGGAGTGCTGACGGGAGGGTGAGTTTTGGAAGCCACCTCAGTAGATCCCACAGTGGCTAATCTTCCAGAAGAAAGACTACCCAACTCTTGAATGGTGCTGTCCGCAGGTTTCTTACCTGCTGCATTTAGAAGCACAGGTCTATCAGAATCAACCTCCGATGTGGACAATGTGCTCTGCAAAGAATCCGTCGGCTTCCCAGGGCCTTGAGAAGGCTGAAATTCAACATCTGAAGGCCCTCTTCCATTTTCATCTATGGCGTGTCTGTTCTTGTCCATTAAGTCCTTTGGGGCATCTGAGGAAACCTTCAGAGCAGATGAAGAAAGCTGTGGAACACCCAACACGGGACCTGCCTCCAGAGAAGAAGAGCCGTCTACAAGGACAGCTCTAGCACATGCTCTGTGTCGGTTCCTGGCAGGTTTAGAAACACTTGCTCGGGCATCTGTTCGTTGTGTGCAAACTATCTGGTTGTCTTCTGCTCCAAGTTCTTTCCCTACCTTACTCTTTGGCAAAGCAGAGGGTGATGTACTATGGAGTCCAATGGCTTTTGTCTTCAAGTGGAGAGATTCGGAGATCTCTGTGACATCTGGACCACTCTGTGCTTTTTGAGCAACTGTGGGAGGACACGTTCCTTTCTTTTCCTCCTTGTCCATATTCTCTCCTTCTCCATCTTTGGTGAGAGAGGATGGAACATTTGGAGAGGGCTTGGTGGAATTCAACTGGAGCTGAGTCTCCAGCAAATTCTCGGCCTCTGATATCAAGACGGATGTTCCATCTCCATGTAGGTCAGTGCTGCAAGAAGAAGGCAAAGCTTTAGAGGTTCTGGTCCCAGGTGATGCATGGTCAGTCCCATCTTCGTTGACATTCACCATACGGTGGCCCAACAAGCCTAGATAAGAAAAATGAAGAGAAGAGAAAGTAAGGGTTTCCAAAAATTACAAAGCTGCATCTCATTTATCTTGACCATATCATGCAGGGGAATTCACTTGGAAAAATAATTAATTAGCAGTAGAGGGAAACCAGGCTGCCACAACGGCTGGAGGCTCTCAAAGCTGATACCAGCCAGAGCATGGAACGACTCAAAGAAACAGGTCAGAAGATGTGGAGAGACCAGGAACGTTCGCCTTCCGTATTGAAGCTGCGGGGGAGAGTTGCTAGTCAGAAACGGTTTTAAGATTTTTATACCTGGAAGGAGGTAATTCCTGATGCTAACATGGCCGACGAGGAAGAAGACCCGCCTTTTGAAGAAGATACTGAAGACACTGGAGGAGGGTCAGATGGTGGACAGGGAAAAAGGAAACGGTTGTTCTCCAAAGAATTGAGGTGTATGATGTATGGATTTGGAGATGATCAGAATCCTTACACAGAGTCTGTGGATATTCTTGAAGATCTAGTCATAGAATTCATCACAGAAATGACCCACAAAGCAATGTTGATTGGACGACAAGGTCGAGTACAGGTTGAAGATATTGTCTTCTTGATTCGTAAAGACCCACGAAAATTTGCTCGTGTGAAGGACTTGTTAACAATGAATGAAGAATTAAAACGGGCTCGAAAAGCATTCGATGAAGCAAACTATGGCTCTTGAGGCATTTTTTGAGCTCATCTCATTTTTTGATTCACTCTTTGAGTCATCTCATTTTTTGATTTTTCTTTTCTATAAAAGGAAGCTCTGGGAAAAAACAATTCAGAACACTGCTGCACGTTGAAATAGATTTAATTGTGGACTGTTTTCACAGATTCTTTGTATTGTGCTGTTTGCCTTTAAAACGATTCATTCTTGGTCATTTTTCCCTATTATAGCTTGATTTTTTTAGACTGCAACCATTTGAGTGTCATAATTCTAGGTT